AAAAAAGGAAAATGTGCTTTTTATCTAGTCTCTCAAAAAGATAATAAATGAATAGTAGTAGATTTAGAAAAATATGAAGAAAACGATTTAGGAGATTATGAAAATATCGAAATTAAGTTTAAAAGTGGGAAAGGTCAACGGAGCAAAGCACCCGAACCTTTGAATAAAGGTGAGTGGACTAAACCTACTAATTACCAAGAACAACCAAAACAGCAAATTTTAGTTTCAGGGTGAACGGATAAAAAAGAACCTAAAAAAGAAATCTTCCTAAAACCCGAAGAAATCATCCTCTTTTTTAATAACTCTTCTAAAACCCCTAATCTCTTAGAGGCTGAAACTATTTATTTAGAGGATTTATGAGCCACCAAAGAAAGAATAAAATGAGACCAAAAAGCCTCTAAAAAAAAGATAATTAACTGAGTAGAACAAAAAGTAGATGGGGAAGATAAAGCCTATAAGATAGACCAATGAGAAAACGATTATATCTTTAACATCTACAACCCCGATATCACTAATGAAATTAAAAGCCATGAAGTCTATTCCAGTGAAAATAATAAAGAACGGGAACAATTATGAAAGGATTACCACGAAGACTATTCCGAATTAAAAGAAGTTTACGGTATCCGACATAATCTCCAAGCCAAAGAAGAAAGACAAAACAACCCAGAAATAGACATCATTAAATCCCCCTTCTTAGCCTTAGAAAGAGATAAATGACGAGAACGAATGAAAAGTATTAAAGATTTTGAAAATAAAAAAGGCTGTGAGGGCATCCATACTCTATCTTATGGCAGTTTAGGAGAACATCAGCAAGAAATATTATTAGAAAAAGAAGTGGAGAATTTGGAGGATGATGAAGAGAAGTTGGAACAGTTGGAACAAGAAAAAGAACAACCCATTAAAGAAATATTAATTGAAAGCCACAAGGCTTCCCAAAAGAAATAAACTTATGGATAACTGTATTCACTGATTTTATCTCTGCTGTGGTTTTTTACTCCTTTTTGGACTAATTGCCGTGATGATATTTAGATACTTTGTTAAAATCACCCGAGAAGGAGTAATATTAAGAAATAATGATAAGCAGCACGAACAAAAACACCACCAAAACGAAACCCGAATAATAGAACTAGAAAAGAAAAACGGAACTGAAATGAGAAAGATTGAAGAATTAAATAAGAAAATAAAAGATTTAGAAAGCAAATTAAAAGAAAAGCAATAAATACTATTCAGACTTATTCAGATATGAAAAATAATCGAATTAACAAACCTATCAAAAACTTTCAAAAGAAAAAGTATTACACTAATCGGAATACCTTCAAAAACCAAGAACTACAAGAGATATATTATTATGACCCTCTTAAAAGAGAATGAGGAAAAAGAATTATTAAATAATCATGACTGAAAAAGAACTAACATTAGAATTAGAACCCGAGGAAGAAATACCCGAAGAACCTGAGTTTATCCAAGAATGTGGAACAGATTTGGATGATGATTTGCCCGACACTGAGGATATTGAAGATAAAGACGATATTATTTACTGTTATGAATAAAGACCAATTACAAAAAGAACTCTTAGAAAAAATAAAGCCAGGAGTAAAAGCTTCTGACCTAAAAAAGAAAAAGTCAGGGGTAAATATTGGTTCAATCCCTACTCCTCCCCCACCTCCACCTCTAAATAATAAGCAGGATAATTCCGATGAAGGATATGAGAGTGAGAGTGAAAAAACTAACAAAGTCAAAGAATTAGAACAAGCCCTCCAAGAGGCTAACCGTAAAATCAAGGAACTCCAAGCCCAGGAAAAGCAGTGAAAAGAAACCATCCATAAATCTAACCTTCTAATTACCGATAAAGACCAAACCATCAAATACTTACAAGAATTAGTAAAGTCCTTACAAAATAACGAAGAACAACCAACTTTCAACTGCTACCACTGCTCCCAAACCCACCCCCTCTCTTTATTAGTGATTGAAATCCCCGAAAAAGGTAAATTATGTCAACCTTGCTGACAAATACTCCGTAAAAAAACCAAGCAAAAATTAATCCCATCCAAATTTACTTGCCACCATTGCCAAGAAATCAAGTCAGAAAAGCCTTTTAAAGTAAAATTAGACAGTTCTTTACAAGAATACTCCATCTGCTCCTCTTGTTTACCTCTAATTAAGGAGTATAACGAAAAAGAAGCCGACAGTAATCGAGAATTAGATATTTGAGAATAAAAAATATGGTAGAAACTAACGAAACAAAAACAGTCCCTAAACAATCATTAGCCTATTTATTCCCGGGAGGATTTAATGAGTTTTGGCAAAAAACGGAAATCAAAAAAGATTTAGAGCAAATCATCTATGAATATATTCCAGCCACCGATACCACCGAAGAATTCAAAAAAACCTTAGCCAGTGGAGGTTATGGATTATTAGCCCGACCGATTGGCAAACATTATTTTGACCGATACCAATTCCGAACCTATGAACCCCATGAGGATGTTTTTATTTCTACTTTTAAGACTAATATCATTAATGTCATTGTCGAAGTCCGTCGAAAAGAACATTTATGACAAGAAGCCTTCCGACCAGTTAAAAATTGACTAAAACCTTTAAAACTAACTACCGACACTAGAACCAGCAAGAATTATGATAACACGAAAATAGATAGTGGGAATATTATCAATAAAGGTTCTAATACTAACCAAACCAATGAACAAAAACAAATCAATTCTCAATCCGTTCCCATTTTCTCTAATGTTGACTTGACTGCTAGCCAATTTGGAGGTTTTCAACGACAACAACAATTAGCCACTAAACAAACCGAACAAGGACAAAATATTTCGGCTGGGAGTTCGAACCGAACTACGGCTAAACAAAATCTAACCAGTAAAGAATTTTACCGACAAAATAAAGATGCCAATGTCTCCATCACTAAACAAGATGCTTATGAACTAAACTCGGTCAGTAGATTATTAAATAATTTCCTTATCACAGTAATTAAACTATCTGATCATTACCCCTTATTCGACAAATTATTTATCAAAATGTTTGGAGCCAGTGTGGTTCCTATTATAGATGAAAAAACTGGACGGAGGAGATGAGTAAGCCAAGCCGAATATGAAGAAATTGCAGCCGAAGAAACTCCGAAACCTAAATTAGATACGGGGAATGAATGAGATGAAACTTTACCTTATTTAGAAAGATTAAAGATATTATTAAAAAAGACGGAAAAAGAATATAATAAACTCCCTGATACTTCCAACCGAAAACCGAGAATAGCATTGAGATTAAAAGTTTTAGAGGGCTGTATTAAGGCTTATGAACCCGAATATATCGAATTACCCACCCCTGAGGAATTCCTAGCCCGAATAAAAGGAGAAGTGGTCGGTTATACCCGAGTAATCGGTTATGAAAACATTATTGAAATCGTAGCCAAATACTTAAAATCCTATCATTTTGCTAAAAAGTATGGCACCCCCCCACCAGCCCAATTAATGATTATGTTATTGGGAGAACCAGGATTAGGTAAAACCTATATCTCCCAAGCCATTGCCAAAGCCTTAGGAAGAGGTTTCCATATGATCGGCATGAATGGTAAACTAAATGCTTCTTTAATTACTGGAACTAATATTGAAAACCCAGGAGCAGAACCAGGAGAAGTATTAAAGGCCATTAGTAGGAGAGAAGATAGAGGTTGTGTCATTGTTTTTGATGAAATCGAAAAAGCAGCCCGAGAATGTAAAGAGGCTTGTGGTATTCCTACCGACATCACCACTAATAAAAATTACCAAGACACTTTTTTAGACTTCCCCTCTCCGACTAATGAATGTATTTTTATTGCCACGGTAAATAGACCGGAGGATGTTCCTAATTTTGTAGCCGACAGATTTGCCATTCGAGTGGAAGTTTTGCCCTTAGCCTATCAGCAAAGGTTAGAAGTGGTGAGGGTAGTTTTACAATCTGAATTAAAGAAATTAGAACCTGCTTTTGAGAAAATTTATCGTAAAAAGTGAGAGGAGGTTTATAGTTTATTTGATAATGAAAAATTATTAAAAAAAACTTTGACTTGAACCTTTTCTATTCGAGGAGCCAAGAATAATATCCTTTTAAAACTCATTCCCACTTTAACCAGTGATTTTTTAGTCCCGGAAAGGACTTTGCCAAGTCAGGAGGGGATAATTGATTATGAGTGAAATTTCTTACAAAGGGAGGGTAAAGATGAAAGTTGCCCGTATGCTAAGGATAGCAGGAATAATCATAAGCCGAATTGTATGTGTTTTGTGAAGAATTTAAACCTTGCTTCTGGGTGAAAGGAAAATATGGGAGATACTTATCCTGAATAAAAAAATATGAATTACCAAATAATTAATCAAATCCAAGAAATAGATATCAATACTCGGAAGGAGTTATGAGACAGTTTATTCCTCTTTGTGAACTTCCAAGGCTTAAAGGCTGAATACCCGAATATGTGAAATAAGAATTATCAACTTTTACCTTTGCCTAAGTCTTATCAGACCACTAAGGAGAAATTCACTAAATATTGCCAAGGGCTAAATCAGCAACTAGAACAGTTAATCAATTCCTTTAATTCTTACTTCCAGCAAAATATTTATCCCATAATTAAAGAGAATGAGAAAACTTTGGCTTTTCGGAGTGATAGACTATTAAAGAATAAGATAGTAGGTGAAAGTTCTAGTTTATTTACTGATTTACTAATTTTTGAGTTAGAATATAGACAAGCAGAAAAGTTCAAAGAATTATTAAAGAAATTAGAGAATATTAATTGTTTTGGTGATAACCAACAGCAAGAGAATATTCAGCAGGATATTAAGAAGTTAAGAGAGGGGAGGATTAATTATTTCGTTAGTCAACGATTTATTTTTAAATGAAGTAAATTAATGGCTAAATCAGGCTCACCAAAACAATTATGGCAAGATTTAGAAGAATATTTAAAAGAGTGAGAAAGGGGAAAAGGGGCTGAAAGTAAATGAAAGAAGCATTTGAATATATTTAGCAAGCAGATTGAGGACTTTTTCCTATTAGGTTCCGAGAATATTAGTGATGGCAAACCTTTCTTTCAATTAGGGAAAGTTAAAGAAGACAGTGAAAGAGGCTTAGTAATTACCACCCAAAATAGGAAAGGGTTTAGTTTAAATAATCCTTATCTTTTTGTAGTTAATTTTCATCAGAAATATTTTCGGGTTTATACTATTAGTAGTTATCAGCATATTAATCCTAGGAATTTATATGTCGAATTCTTTCTCAAAGAAGATTGAGTGTGAAAGGATTATCCCTTAATTATTCATAGTTTAGGGAGTTTAAGTAGTAGCAATCATCCCGTTTATCATAGTAGGAATTTGGGTTAATATTTAGACTGATAACTGACCTAATAACTATAAAATTATAATATAGGCAAATTAGAGACCTGGTAATTAGGTTTTAGTTGGTATTATTGAAGATTAAGAAAATGTCTGTTAATTTATTTTAATATTTATATAGAACTTTTTTGTTCCACTTTTTTTATTTTTATTTCCCTAAACAAAATTTACTGAAAATGATGTCTAATAAATCCTCGTTATATTCTTTGCCACTTAATTCCTTGATTAATTTATAACTTAATTCTAAATCGCCACATAAGGCATCTAAATAAGTTTCTTTTTTTAGTTCACTAATTACTGTTTCTAATTGTTGGATAAGTCTGGTTAATTTAGCCTGTTGTCAACTTTGACTTAAATAGGGGTAGGGAGAAAGATTATTTATTAAATCGCTGGCAAATAATTCATTAATTTTAGTTTCCAATTCATTTAATTGCTGTTTTTTAGCACTAATTTTTAATATTTTTTCTCGAAAAATGTAATTAGGAAGTTGTAGATTATTTTCTTTATCTATTTTATTAATAATAACTAAATGATTTTTGTTTTTAATTCTTTGAAAAATATTTTCTTCCTCTTGACCTCACGGGCAGGAATTATCCACTAAAAAAAAAATGATTTCGGCTTTTTCTAAGGCTTGATAACTTCTTTTTACGCCAATTTTTTCCACTATATCTTGGGTTTCGTGAATGCCAGCGGTATCCAGCAAAGTTAAAGGAATTCCATTTAAATTATAGCGGGCTTCGACTATGTCGCGAGTAGTGCCGGCAATAGGGGAGACTATGGCTTTTTCTTCCTGCAATAAGGAATTTAAAAGGGTGGATTTTCCGACATTTGGCTTGCCGACAATGGCAACTTTTAATCCTTCTTGGTAGACCCGAGATTTTTGCCCGCTTTTTCGGATAATTTCTAATTTTTCTAATAGTTTATTTAAACGGGAAAGTGCTGCTTTGCCAGTTAGGTATTCTACTCCATCATATTCCGGATAATCAATATTTACTTTGACATTAGCAATAATTTCTAATAGTTCATTTTCAATGGTTTCTAATTTCTTTTGAGTTTCTGGGCTTAAATTATGGAGAGCTAATTTGGCAGCCGGTAAACTGGGAGCCCGAATTAAGTCGTTTATTGCATTGGCTTGGATTAGGTTCAGTTTGCCATTAAAAAAGGCTTGTTTGGTGAATTCGCCCTCCTTAGCTAGTTCCGCACCGTTTTCTAAAACTAATTTTAATATTTGGTTAACAATAAATAAATTACCATGACAACTAATTTCCACTACATCCTCACCAGTAAAAGAACGAGGCTTATAAAAACAAAGCAATAATACCTCGTCAATAATTTCTTTTTTTGAGTTAATAATTTTGCCAAAAATTAATTGCGGCTTTTTTTGGGGATACTCCGGCAAAGGACGGTCAAAAATTTTAGTTACAATTTGATAGGTTTGTGTTCCTGAAATCCTAATTAAAGCAATATTTTGGGTAATTGGGACCGTGACTAAGGAAGTAATGGTTTTTTTGTCAAGCATAGATTAATTTTTTGCTAAAAAAACATGATGCTTTTCAAAAATCAAAAAAAACTTGCTCACATGAATTAATGTCATTTATTATAAATGGACTATTCCTTAATGAAGCGAGATGTTCGCTTCCTCAAAAGCATGGGGTGCCAACAAAGCCCAAAATAGCCACGATAGTGGTAACTAATCACAATTCCTAATAATCACCGACACCAATTTTTTTCTCCTTGCGGGATTGCTGGACAAATTTACTTGTTTTTCTATCTCTTTTTACTTACCTTCCAAAAATCCTTACTAGGTTTGAAATTAATCCGATTAGTGAGTTTAGCACTTTTGGCTAATTGCTGTTTTTTGGCTTCGCATTTAGAACAATTTCTTGTCTTAACTACTAAATTCCGAAAAGTGTTTGATTTAGTATAAGCCGCAATGCCTTTGCCTTTGTTGGCTTGCTTAAATTTATCTAATTCTCTTTGGTGTTCATCACAATTTTTATTGCCTTTAGGCTGGGTAGCACTTCTTTTAACTGTGAAATAGCCTTTAAAGTTAACACTTTCGCCTTGAACTAATTTTTGCTGAATAGTTTCCAGGAAAGTCGTAATAACTTTTTTGGTAGTTTCTTCGCTATTGATTTTGCCTTTTTTGTTTACTTCTTTGGTAATTTCTGTTATTCCGATCATATAGTATTCTTATAAATTAATTTTATTATACAAAGTTAGTTGGGTAACCACCCCATTTTTTAGAAAACAACCCTAAGTATCAAGGTTATCCTTTTAAGCAAAAGCCTATTATCCAGCCAATTATTTCTGATTTAGTTTTATTCTTCTCATAGATAAGTAAGGAAATTCAAGTATCTAGGAAATGAACTACCCACCACTTACAAAAGTGGGGGCATTAATGGCTAGGGTGGGTAAAAGACTGTTATCTAGGAACTATTATTTTTCAAAAAAAAATATGTGCCGCTCCTTATATATTAATAATGTATCACCATTAGAGTAAAGCAGGACAAAACCCTTAACTCCTATTATCTAATTGTTGACCATAAAAAGCAGCAGACCAAATAATTTTCACTAGTTATCCAAGTTCAAAATTAACTTAATTTTCTCAGTTATTTTTTTCATAGTTTTTTCATCTAAATTTCCCAAGAATAGACGGTGTTTAAACATGGCTAACTTGCTAATGGTGTGAATTTGACTAACCAACACTTTTAACTTTTTTCCTTCGCATTCACAATGAACTTCCAGCGGTTTCCGGACTTCCTCATCGTTCTCTCTCAGCACTACCAATGCTACAATTATGTAGTCACTATACCGATTATGCAATTCATTACTTATCACCAAAATTAGATTTGATTCATCAACTTTGGTTTTTCCCAAAGGGTCAAATCAGCCCACTCCTCCTCAGGAGGGCGTGTAAGTATGGATATTTTTCTTATTATGAACACTTACATCTTTTTTCATTTTACTCTTTGGTAAAACTATTTCAGGCTTTTATTTTTTCGGACAATTTTTTATCCCGAGCGACCTTTTGATAGTCTTCGATAATTTGTTTCTCTTTTTTGCTTATGCTTTCCTCTATTGCTCTGCTAACAAATTCACTAACCTTTCCTGCTGCCACTATTTCTTTGAGTTTCTTATAAACATTTTCAGGGATCGTAATGGTTAAAGTTACTTTAGTATTTGCCATATAATATTTTTAACATTTTTGCGGCTAATTTGTTTATTCCTAATTAACTATATTTTGGCAAACTAAATCCTTTAACTCTTGGCAATTCCCGGTTCAATGAACGGTCATTTTCTCTCTTATTTCGGGTGGAACTTGTTGTTGATAAATTTCCAGGAAAAAGTTTTCTAAATTAGTCCCGTTTGGTGTAGAGTTGTCTTGCGGGAGGACTAATTTTCTTACTCCTTGGTTAAAGGCGGCAGTAATTTTGCCTTTTAAACCTCCCACTGCTAATATCTTATTGTCTTTAATCGCTATCTCACCAGTCGCCGCCAAATTATTTGGCAAAGGCTTTTTGTAAATGGCAGATAATAAAGCCAAATAGAGAGCGGTTCCCCCTGATTTTCCTTCAAATGGTCCACCAGCATTGGCATACAAAATAGAAACTTCTCAATTATTAGGATTATTGGTTTCCTGAGCCAGGACCGAGGTAATAATTTCTCGAAAATAAGTTTCTTCGACCTCATTCCATATTCTTCCATCAATATTTATTGTCGGGTCATTTTGACTATCCGAAGCAGTTTTTCGTGCAACAACTACTAACTCATGGCAATTCCCTTTTTGCTCTTGGAAAAGTGGGAAGAAAGGATTATTCTTCTCCTCTTCTTTGTTTACTAAGATTGTTAAACCTTTTATCACCCCAACTCGTTGAGTGGAATTTAAGTCGGGGATATCTGAGGCATTTAGTTTTCAATCAAAAAGTTTTCGCATATCACTGCCATCGTTATATCCTTTTTCTAACAATTCACCGATATAATTATCAGGAAGGAGAGTTAAATTTGGATTAGTTTTTAACAAAACACTTCAACTTCCCTCGGCTAAAAATTGTTTTACTCTTTCCTGGATTGGGCTTTCTTTTTGGTTTGGTTGAGGTGGCGGAAATGAAGGAGGATTGTTTGGTTGGTCTGGCTTGCCGCCCTCCTCCTTATTTTTTAACCCATTGCCAAAAGGAACCTTCTTTTTAGAATTATTTTCATTTATTATAAAGGCTCCGCTAGCCAACAAAAAAAGAACAATTGCACCGCTAATTAGATAGATTATTAGTTTTTTTTTTTTTTTTTGCTAACTTTTTTATTATCATTATTTCAACAATGATTGTATTGAAAGAAACATGTGATAAGGTACTTTAAGCATATAAATTTCATTATCATCGTAACGAAATTTTCTATCTTCTCCTGTGTAAATTATTCCGTATCCCATTCCTTCAATTTCTTTTATTTCAAGAAGATGATAAATATCATTAAATTCAAATTCTTTTGTAACTACTTTATCATTTTCATTTTTATGTGTATAAAGTTTTCTACTTTTTTTAAATCAGTCAATTAGTTTTTTTATTTGATTTTTATTTTTCATATCAATTTATAATGCATTTATAAATTATAATTTTGCTTTTACTATTTTATTTTCTATTGCCGCTGTTTCAATTCCTTTTACTATCTCATTAACCGTGTAAATTACCGCATATCCATATTTTAAATTCAACAATGACGCTTTCTGCATTTCTTTGGTACTAGCTGCTGTACATTCCCCTAAAAAAAACACTGCAAAATCATGGTTAAAAGCCGCTCTAACTGTGTCTTCGCAACAAAGGTTTGTTAAAGCACCACTAATGATTATTGTTTTAATACCTCTTTCTTTCAGACTATTTTTAAGTTCAGTTGCCATAAAAGCATCGCTGCGTGTTTTTTTAATAAAGAGATCTTTTTCATGTTTAAATTCTTTCAGTTCTTTTATTATTTCTCATTCTGGTGATCCGACCATTATAGCATCTTTTTCTCCTCATCACTTAACAAGTTGCCCGCCGTCTTTTCCTAAATCGTAGTGTCCGTGTTGAGTTCAAATTACGGTTATTTTATTACTACTATTTTAATAATTAATTTCCGCTTTCTTGTTTTCAAATAAAGTCAAAATCCAAACAGTCTTTAAAATACTTTCTTAAATCCTGCTGATTAAGTTCACTTATAATTTTACTAACTGCTAAACTTAACTCCTCCTCTGTCCTCGGTCTCTGTTTCCGAACATACTGCTTAATGACATTAAAAACCAGTTCAGTAGGATTTAAATAAGGATTAGAAGCCACAATATACCTAGGCTCAATATTTTTACTTTCCAACACTCCTTTAACTTTATCTGCCTTATGAAAGCTAATGTTATCAAGGAGCAAATAATACCTTTTCTCGCTAGGAAGTTCAACCCTCGAAAGAAAACTATGAAACACTTCTGTATTTACAGCATTCTTAATTAATTCCCAATGAACTATCCCTCCTTTTTCTACATTCCTAATCAACAAAATTAAGGAATAATTAATGCCATAACTGGGTTTAAAGTCAGCAATTTTCTCTCCTTTTGGCCCTCAGCCTTTTTTAAGGGCTAGATTTAAAGGGTGTCCGCTTTCATCAGTGGCTAAAATCTGCCTAGGAGGCAATTTATTTGCTCTTTCCATAAACTGGATAACTTCGGGCAGATTAGATTTTTGTTGAGGATGGCGATAAGGGATTACTTGGTGGGAATATTTAATTTTCTTTAAAATTAGAGAAATAGATGCCATACAAAACTCCTCACCAGTTTTCTCCAAAACATAATCAACCATTTCTTTTAGTGTCTTTGCCTTTTTATTCTGAATAGAGAGGAGTAAATGAAAAAGGCATTTTCTGTCAAATCTCCTTTTCGGTCCTACCTTTTGGAGAGATTTAGTAATTGGCTTTCTTCAATATCTCATCATTCTATCGCTTCTTTTTAATCCCTTAGCAATTTCCCTATAAGGAACTCCTGCTTTCTTTAACCCCTCTATAAACTCAACTAAATCCTGATGCTTAAACTTAAATGACCTCCTAGTAAGTTTATCATCTACTTTTTTAGTTCTTTTACTTAACTCCTCCTCTCATCAATCTACCCCTTCTTCCTCCTCAAACTCCTCATCTTGTTTAAAATCTTGGTAGAGTTTATATTTGCTACCTTTATCCCAAACAAGTTTTAATTTTCCTAGTAAACTAGGGATATAAATTATCCGATAATTACTTATAAATCAAGCCTCTTTCCCTGTTCCAATATCAATAAAAGTATATCGCCAGAATTGTTTGTTTTTGCTTCTTTCTGCCTTAGTTATCTTGGCAACATACTCCATAGACTATAATCTATTTTATAGAATAAAATAGAACAAGAATATAGCCTTATTTACTAAATGCTTCCACAGTAGTTTTTTTATATTCATCCATACACTGCTTGGCTAGTTCATTGTATAAATGTCCTTGTAAAAGTCAGTTAGTTCTCTTTTTCTTTTCGGGAGACATAACCCCCACTTCTAACCTCTTTATCACATTAAACATAGCAATCTTTCTTTCATAAGGACTTAAATCGCTTCTTAGGATACTTTCTATTTTTTTGACAAGTTGGCGAGCCTCCTCTCTACTTCGTTGAATTGCGGAGGTCATACTCACATGCCTTTTTTTATTGATGTTGTTTTTATCCATGGCTATATACTATATTTTAGGATGATTACGCTATTTAATACGGTTTTATTAATAAAACTAATTAAATATATAGTCAAACAAGAACAAGTCTTTTGAACCATTCTTTTAAATAGTCTTTCAAAGTTTCTTTTAAAGAATAAAATTATAAATATATGAATGAAATTAAAATCCTAGCCAAAAAAGATAGCAATGAAAGGGTGTGTATTAAAGGGTTATCACATATAACTTGTCTTAGGTTCACCTCCCAAGAAATGGATAATGGAACCCCCAAGTATAGAATACTTATTCCTTACGAACATCCCGAACTAGAAAAGCAAGAGAAAATTGATGTTGAGGTTAGGATTAACAATAGACATTTTGAAAAGGGTTATTGCTATGAAATATCCTTTATAGATAGTGAAAGTTTGCCGTATAAACCATCATCAGGTGAAGGAGTAGGAGATGAGGATAAAAACAAAAAAGTTTTTAATCTCCAAAGCAATATCACTATCAAGGATAATTCTTATGAGAAAATATTAGAGGACTTAAAGAACGAAAATAATCTAATGAAAGAGGAAGAGACTACTTGAAAAGGTTTTATTGAATATTTTAGAAATCAATTGGCTGGGGTATCAGATAAAAACAGCACTAAATATAAAGAGGGCCGAAAGTTCATTGAGGATTTAGAAGCAGAGTTTAATAAAAAGACTGGTAAAGGTAATGATAACCCAGAGAGAGAGAGAGAGAGAGAGAGAGAGCAGAATTGAGAAACTACGGAGAAAGATTGCCAAGTTAGAAGCCATTGTTAATCGCACTTCTCAACAGGAGCAAGAGTTGAAAGATAAAAAACAACAATTAGCCGAATTAGAGAACCAACAACAGACAGGAGGAGACCCTAAAAAGCCTACTAATTACTGGCCTTGGATAATCGGAGGAGTTATTTTAGTTCTGGTTGTTATTCTAGTTGCTTATTTGTGAAATAAGAAAAGCAAGCCAGCAAAATAAGTTCATGGTTTAGTGTAGCACCCTCCTATTATAGTCCTAATTATCAAGGAGGGGAACAAGAAATTAAAGGTATTTTTAGAAGAAAGAGAAATACCTGAACAGGGTGATAGTAAAAGAATTAGTTATAATTTGGTTAAGACTTTGGAAGTTCCTGAATATCAATTAGGTAATTAGGCTTAAATGAGGAGAAATTAAATGTCCCTTTCATACAAAATCCACAAATATAGCAGTGTTTTCGAGGGTCAGGAAGTAAGTTTAGTTCTTTTATAAGAGGTTTTTCTCTTGGAGAACATTTAGAACATTTTGCCATTATGAATTATTTTTAGTGAAAGTTTCTAAAATTGTATATTATGGTAAATGCCCAAGAATGATTGGATAAGAAGTATCCGAAAGAAGGCTGGAAGGAAGAGTGAATTGATTGAAATGACGGTGGTCAAAAAAAAGAATGAAGAACAAGAAGCAAAACAGAAGAAATCTACCTAAACGAACCCAGTTTAGAAGGGGAATTAGATTTGGGGGATTTTACTTATAAACATAGAGACTATGGATGAGGTGTAAAAATCTACATCTCCCTTCAAGTAGATGAAACTAAACTAATTATTAAAAACTTACCCGAAGAGGCTTGGCTTGTCAGGTTGATAAATGCTCAAAGATGATTAGAATGAAATTATCCGAGAGATGGAACTTGTATAAGAAAAAAATTAGATTACAAAAGTAAAAAATGAGAAAATCACCCTGATTTTGGTAAAACTAGAAGTGAAATAAAAGAGTTAGATATTAGTTGGGAAGAACTAGAAGGAACCTTAAATTTAAATGATTTTTCTAATCTGAAAATTCTTGATTGTTCTAAAAATAAACTAACCAATCTCGATTGCTCTAATTGTGAGCAGTTAGAAGAAGTTTGTTGTTCTAGCAATTTCCTAACCAATATTACTCTCCCTACTAATTTAAAGAAATTAAGTTTAAAGAATAATAATCTCCCTAATCAAGACTTAATCAACAAATATGGTTTATGTCTTAAATGTTATCAATCCAATACTAGCAAAAACTGATGTCAACCTTGTGCTGAAAAAGAGTGAAAACAATTAGAAGAACAAGAATTAGTGGAAAAATTTATTCAACAACAAAAAGAAAGAAACAAATATGAAAAACTACTACAATGAATTCCCTACGAACAATTTTCTAATATCGAACAAATCGGAGAAGGAGGTTTTAGTATAAAATATATAAGGCTGAATGAAAGGGGGGTAATATTGTTCTAAAATCCCTTAATAATTCTCAAAATATCACTCTCGAATTCTTAACCGAAATCACTAATACCAAATTAGTTTGAAGTGGAGTTGTCCGTTGCTATGGCATTTCACAAGACCCTAACACCAAAAGCTATGTGATGGTGATGAATTATATGAAAGAAGGCAATTTAAGACAGTATTTACAAAACAAAAACAACGAACTGAGTTTAGATGCTAAATTTCATAGATTACGGGGTATTGCTCATGGTTTATTTTACATTCACGAACAAAACCTAGTCCACCGAGATTTCCATAGTGGGAATATTCTGAATGGTAATAATAATTTCAGTTTTATTTCTGACCTAGGTTTGTCCTATCCTGCTAATTATCAAAAGCAAGAAGGCAAAATCTTTGGAGTTCTTCCTTATGTAGCCCCAGAAGTATTACAAGGTCAACCTTACACCCAGGCATCCGATATTTATAGTTTTGGAATAGTGGCTTATGAACTATTGGCTAATTCTTATCCTTATTCTGAAATGAATGACACTGATTTAGCCTTGGCAGTATGTAATGGATATAGACCTGATATAGATAAGGTGCCAGTTCCCCAAGATTGAAAAGATTTAATTAAAAGTTGTTGAGATGCTGACCCCAGCCAAAGACTAGATGCTGAGAAGTTGATAATTTCTTATTTTGGTAAGGAAATAGAGAAAGAATACAATACTTTCTCCCAAAACACTCCTTACCAAATTCATCCTACCGCCACTACTACTAGCAAAATGATAGACACTAAGGAAATTACAGAAAAGTTAAAAACTATTGAACAATACTGAGGTTCTAAGGAATTCGATATCGATGACTTTAATCTGGATGAATTAAATCCCCAAAGAGAAAATCAAAACTGAACTAACATTCACCCCAACTTCACTGATAAGTTAGTTAAAAATTGACAAAACCTAAATTTTACTCCTCTCCAAACCCAAGACTGAATAAACATAGGTCTTCAGCCCACCGACTATAATTTCTGTGCTTGGTTAAGAGACACCAAACATCTAACTCCTGAACAAGTTCTAAACCACTCTAACGAACAAGAATTAAGACAAGAATACCAAACACAAACTCAAATCAAAGAAATTGCCGTTCAGCAACAACCTCCTAAATAACTATCTTATAATGGTCAAGTATTTTTCCCTTATATGTATCACCTTTTTTATAAAGGACTGGGGCTTTCGAACTTAATTTTATGTTTTCTCCTGTTACTTGTCCTCTTTCATCATATATTCTACCATCATAAGCAATAGGAAATCCTCCTAATATTGCATGAATATTTTTTGGTTCTTTCATTTTTCTAAAAGCTAAAATACCCAAACCTTCACTACCAAATTCTAATTCATCTCTTATTGAAAAACTATTGTATTCACAAACATCATTAAGATTTAATTCAAAGTTTGTTTTATTTGGGTTTAGAGAAAAGTCTAAAACTAAAAAGTAAATGCTAAGATGATGACTACCCTTAACATCAAAAACAAAAGAAGGACGATTTTTTGTTCTATCTTTAAAGCGAATAGATAAACCACATAAACTAGCTGAATGTTGCCTTATAAAATCTTTAAACAACTTTTGCTCTTCCTCAACATTATAAGTGCCAACAACATACTCTAAATAATTAGAATTACGATAAATATTCAAAAACTTTATTAATTCCTCTTTACTCCTCACTTCCATATCATATTTAGTTTGTAAATCACTTAACTCTTTATCTTTAACTGCTAACTCCTTAACCTTTTGCTCGTTTTGTTTTTCTAAATCTTTTTCTTTTAAAAGAGAATTAACTAATTCTAATAATTTATCTTTGATGGCTAAATATTCCTCTCGTAATTGGGTTTGAGGAAGTAAAATTTTACTGGCTAATTCTTTTTTGATGGTTAAATAGTCAGTTGGTTTTCAATTCTTTCAATTGATATAGGTTAATAAGTGTTTTTCAACTTCATTGGGGGTTAATTTCTCGATAGATTTTAATAAAAAAGTGATAGTCTGTTCCTCATTTTCTTTTTCGGTTCTAGTTTCAGTTAATTCTTGTTTTAATTTTTCTATTTCCAAAGCACGTTGGTCGGATAGTTTTTTTTGTATTCTAAATCTTTCTCCATTTGCTTAATTTGTTTAGCGGTTAATTTAGTCTGAACCCAAACACTTTTCATCTCTGGTTTAGCCCGGATTTCTATACTTACTTTTCTAACATTCTGAATAGCCTCTAATTTCTCCCTAACTTCTTGGGCTTCTCTTTGGATTTGTTTAACCTTTTCATCTTTTTCCACCGAGGATTTAGCATAATTAATCGCCATATAATCTAAATCTTTATTTAAATTGGTTATCTTTTCTTGTAAATCCTTGGTCTCACTCTCATAAAGTTTTTGAAGGTTCTCGTTTTTAATTATCGCATCCTCTCGGGCTTGGGTTTCAATAACTAGGGCTTGTTTAGTTTTATCCAATTCTGTTTGAACTTCGTAATTTTTACCCCAAGCCTTTTTTAATGCCTCTAAATTATTGACTAACTTTTTATTAAAATCAGCAATCTTTTCATCTAGGGCTGTTTTCTCCTCGGGAGTTAGAAGATAAAGAGTTTCAGTCTGGGTGCCGACTGTCTTGGTTTCAGGTTTGAGAGCTTTTTTTAACATCTTAATAACTTGACTATCATCATCTTTTATTTTCTTGTCATCAGCCGATAATAACCAAGGGGTTTCTCGGTGTAGGATTAGTCTTTCAATTAGTTTTAGTCTTTGGAGGGCTATTCGGACTTCTTTTGCTATTACCATATGCCCCTATTTTAGGCAATTAAACTGCCCTCTACAAGGAGAAAAACCTGTAAAATAGGGAGTATATGAATGAAAAACAACAAATCCAAGGATATAAATGTGACAGTTGTTTAACACTATTCTCCTTTGGTGGAGTGAAACGATGTTGCCTTGACAATAATAAATTAGGAGTTAAGATGTATTGTGTTATTTGTCCCCCATGTAGCCAGAAACAATTTTGAAGTAAAGAACGGTTAGGTTATTTTCCATTATTGCCGAACTACCTTAGAAACCAAGAAATAAAAACCCCCGAGTTTATAAGGCATGAGGAGGATGAAAGGATTTGGCAAATAAAAACAAAAGGTTTATTTAAGTGTGATTATTGCTCCCAATTAATACCCCTCACCCAGGAAATAGTATATGATATGACTAGGCATGAACTAAATACTCCTGAGATTGCTTACATTAAATATTCTTTGGTTTGTTCTCCATGTCGAAGTAGTTTGGATAAGGATTTAGATAAGGGTCGTCTAATCAATTATAGCATATTTGATTGAAGTCAGATAGAAGCAGAGAAAGGTGCCTTTCCAACCTTTAAAACTGACACTCTTATAGAGTATGAGAAGTGTAAAAAACAATTGGGAAAGGATGAGAAACCCATGCTACTCCCATAAGTTTTAAAAGTTAGGTTAGTGTAAAATAAAAAGGAGTAAGAAAAAGAATGAAAAAAACGATTAAAATGAGGATATTAGAGGGATAAGAAAATTACAGCAAGAATTATTAAAAGCGGAAATTAATTATTAAAATAGTAGTATTATGACAAATTTTTATCGCCTTTTGAAGTGGAGTAATTACTTTCATTTTCTCCGCTTGCTTGCGAAAGCCTTCTTGCATATCTATAACAAGTAAGGCGGTTGTCGATCAGTCATTTCCAAGTAAAATTTTTTCTTTTAATTCATTAAGGGCCCTAATTAACTCCTCCTTCTTGTTAGCCAACGCTTCTTGCTGAGTAGGTTCTCCCTCTTCTCAATTAAAATAATCTTGTAAATTAGTAAGTAAAGAATAATACTCATCCGGTTGAACAGTCACCACCTTATCAATACTTTCTTGTATTTCTTTTTCCTCTTTTAATTTATTATTACTTGTCATATTTAATTTATATATTATTTTATTTATTTTTTATTTATTTTTTAGAAAATTTATTATATATGCCAACCCTTAATTTAAAAAATATCACTATCAAAGAAAAACAAGACAAAAACCTCAATCCTTATTATCTAATTGTTGATAATGACAATAACCAAGCCTATTTTTGCTTCTCAGGAGCCGTGAAAGTTGGATGGAATGATTTAGTTAGTAGTTGAGAACAGATAAAAGAAGTAGAATTAGAATTTGAAACTAATTGAAACTAATGAACGAGGGAATAATAAAGTAGTTAGTTTATATTCTATTAAAGAAGGAGATATTATTAGTTAATATGAACCGGTTAAAAGCAATACCAAAAAAAGAGTTCTTGCGAGAACTAAAATATCGAGCAGAAAAGAAAAAAATCAGTGAGGAAAAAATATTTAGCATTTTAAAAACTTCTTCCAAACCTGAACTAATTAACGGATATAAAAAAAAATTGATTATTCGCGACTAACCAAAGATGATTGAAAAAGTACTTGCGAAAAAATTATCAGGAGGAAGTGAAGTTATGAGGAATTATTGATGAAGAGTAAAAGAATAATCAGAAGAAAAGTGCTGAAAACATTGCGAAATTTTACTCCTACTCATTTTTAAAGTTTTTAACTAATAGGTTTAAATTTCAGCAAGTTGGCTAAATCACTATCTTTAATATATAAAGCAGTAGTAGAAACGCGACTATGGCCTAATACTTTTTGTAAAATGTTGAGAGGCATTCCGGCCAAAAGGTTGTAAGTAGCAAAACAACGCCTTAAAGTGTGGGGGGCTAATTCAATATTAGGACTAATATTTAAGTCATA